TGGTAACTCGTGACTCGTGCATCGTAAAATTTCATTAATGGTATTAGCTCGATGCTCGAGATACGGCCGAACATCGAATAATACAATAAATCCTGGAAAGAGAAGATATGCTCAGCCGTCGTTGTTTTAAACGACGTCGCCTTTACCTTGAAAGTTTATTTTATATTATTAGTATTCAGCGTGACGCCACGACCTCGCGTTACGCGATTATAAATCCGTTTCATGCTGCTCCTCTAATTTGGAACACGCTCTACCTCTCTTGCCAGGTTTAAAACGAATAAAATAAAATATCCTCCCCTTTATCCTCGCCGAGCTTCGACCATATTTTCAATCGCACTCTTTCACGTCCCCGTGGCGTTGTTTAATGTGGAAAAATTCCGAAAGATGTTGAAATTCCAAAAATCAATCGTTTTCGAACGCTGCCAGTTCGAAATCGACGAAATATTTTCTTTATGCAAATATTAACCGTTCTTCGTCGTGATGTAGTTGCAACGTGAAAAAAAGAGAGAAAAAGGGAAGCGAGCGAGAGAGGAAAATAGTAAAAATCACAAAACTCCATCCATATCGAAACGAATGCCTATTTTCCCAGAACTGAACGTGTCTAAAGCAAATGAAATATCTGTTTGTTGCAAGGTCAGTGATATAGATATCAATTCAATAAAAGATAGTCCACGATTTTTTCTCAAATTCTTCGCGAGCAGTCTTGATTTTAATTATCTACGTTTTATTACCTACAAATTAGTTCATTCGTTCATTTTCGTGAGATTTTATAGAACAATTTAAATCCAAAAAGTATTCAATCGATACATTAATATCGGCGACAAATATACTTCGATTTAAGATATAGGAAATTATAAAAAGATAATTTACATTTTTCACATTTTTACAACACTTATAAAATACTTACTTAATATTCTCCTAAACACGTATTGCCACTTTTCTGGAAACTAGTAAAGTGAGAAAATTTGATAACTACGTAATTACACTGATCTGGGCCTCAAATAAAGAGCGTACTACTTGAGAAGTTCACAAAGTTGAATAATTTAAAAAACAAAAAGATTGAAAAAGAACATTTCAATTACCAATCTAATACGTTTTTACCTGTAACAAAATTTTTATATTTCATAAACAAAAAGAAAAAAAGACAAAATAACTCAACATCCATAAAAAAAAAAAAAAACTAAAAAAATCAATTTCGCGAAAAAGCTTACACCACGGACGGATCGACGTTACACCGCGTTAGAAAACGTCGAAATAATTCTTTTTTTTTTTTTTTTTTCATTTTTTGCTTCCCCTTTTTCAATTTTTTTTTCTTTTTTTTTTTTTTTAATAATCTACGCGTCGCTCGTGCATGCGTGCAAGCGAACCTTCTGCGCCGCGTAGCAGAAATCTGGAAATTCATTGCCACCGCGTTGGAGCGTTCTCCGAAATCGAGTAGCGAGCACGAATGGAACGAAGCAGCGCGTGACACGTTTCTCAATCTCATCGCGCTTTTTCCCCGCGACCTCCATGCAAGAGTTAATGCATTTCATTAATCACTCTCTGTTCCCCCTTTTTCGTATCTGGATTCCAGACCTCGTCTCATTCTTGCTGCGATACTCTGGCTACGTCCCCTTTTTCCCCATCGTGCGCCTCTCTTTATCGTTATTTGTCACCTGCCTGTGAATGCTTTCTCTCCGTCCCTTTCTCTTTTTATTACATGGAAGACGTAAGTGTGTCTTTTCATTCGTATTGTTATTTTGTTGATATTACTTTGAAGAAGCATTTATACATGTATATAAGGTTAACATTATATATACAGAGTATTAGCGTTAATCTTGTCCAGCATTTTTCTCGAAAAAATGGCAAACATTTGGCTGGCGATTGTACGTGAATAAAATTGTCAGACCGTTACATGGCACTACTATATATATATATATATATATA